CTGCCACCTCACCTCCTGGGCTCTCGTGATCCGCCCGTCTTGGCCTCCCAAAGTGCTGGGACTACAGGCTTGAGCCACTGCGCCCGGCCTTTTTCTTTTTTTTTTTTTTAGACAAGGTCTCACTCTGTCACCTAGCTCTCAGTGCAGTGGTGCATTCATAGCTCACTGCAGCCTTAAACTCCTAGGCTCAAGCGATCTTACTGCCTTAGCCTCCCAAGTAGCTGGAACCACAGGCATATACCACCATGCTTAGCTAACATCTCACTGTGAACACACAACAAATACTAACTGCGGTTATTTTTAACAGTCACACAGCTAGTAAGTGGCAAGACCGTGATTCAAACCCAGGCTGTCTCACCCCAGGACTCTAAATCTTTAATATCACTCTATTCAGACTGATGTGAAATAGCCACAGCCACTCTTGTCCCAGGGAGAAAGACTGGACTCTCTAACATGACCCACAAGGCCCTTCAGGATATGTCCTGTCCCTCACATTCTTTCAGCCACTCCTCCCCTCCCAGTCCCCTGCTTTCTCTGTTCCAGCAACTGAGACCCTCTCTCAGTATCTGCAAAGTTCTTCAGACTGTGACCAGCAGCCCCCATCACTCCTATTCCTTCTTCCCACTACTCAGCCCCAAGTCCCTCTCCTTCCTCAAGTCTACCCTATGACTTCTTCCTCCAGTAAGCAGGCCCTGGGTTGGTTCCCCCTTTTTGGCTTCCTCCCTCTGAACCCCAAAACCACATAACCCAGTTGTCAGTTCTCCTTTAGGGCCTGTCTTCCCACCAGACTGAACCTTGTGAGGCCTGGGGCATATCTGCTTGGCTCACTATAGCACTCTGGAGGCCCTGTAGCACCTGGGAGATGAAGGAGGGGGAGCAGTGGGGGAAACTGGGCTGCCTAGACACAGGAACAGCAAGTCCTGAGCTGTTTGTTGGTGGGGAGGATTTCAAGTCTGTGTCCACCCCAACTCCCCTACCCCACATACAGTCAGTCTCCCTTCCCACTGACTGATGGTATCATATACCATCAGCAAGTGGGGCTCTGCTCCCTGGGATGGTGCACCGTGGGGGTCCCCTGGGATTCTGGACTTGGAAAAGGCTGACTGTTCCATCAGTTTTCTCTCTCTGGTTGGCCCTCTGCTGCCACCATCCCCCGAGTCCCATAGGAACCAGGATGTCTAACTGTTGGTACAAATGACCCTCAGAATGTCCATCTGAGTGACCGCTTCAGGAGATGGGTGGGCAGGACTGCCCTTGCTGGGTAGGGAAAGAGCTGAACCCCTTGAGCTAAGGCAGAAGGGCCACCTCAACTGATGGGGGACTGGCTGATAAGAGCCAGGGGACTCTCTGGGCTCATGTCAGTCCTATAGTCTGTTCCCAAGATGGGAAATAACCCAGATCCAAGGTTCCAAAGGGGCTTGCAGCACAGCCAGGTCAGGATGGCTATGAGTGGAGTCCTGACCTGTGCGCATGGCCCCAGATCCTGCAGCCCCACTATACTTCCTACATGCCAAGCCTGGCACACCTGGATGCAGGGGAATATCCCACCACCTGGGCTGCCCAGCTCAGCACTGTGCCAGGCCAGCCGCCTCTCTGGGAGTCCCCAGGTCTAGCCCCACTCCGCCCCGGGGCCGCCCCGACCGAGGTAAACAGAGGCTAAAAATAACCTGGGCAAGGGGGGCTGCAAGGGAGAAGGGGTCCCCTCTGAGCCTGCCCCTGTCTCGATGGCAACTGCCCCCAAACCTGGCGGCTGACGTCATCTCACAGCTGCCCAATCGTATAGGAGGGAGAGGGAGCGGCGCAGCCCCGGACCCCCCACCCCGGAACCGGGCGGAGGCTGTTGGGTGGCCTCACTTCCTGCTGGCCCCCTCCCTGGTCAGCTGGTTACATTCCCTGGCCGTGTGCTGGGAGCCGGGCGGCCTCCCCCGGGCCGGGCCGGGTCAGGGCTGAGTCCGAGCAGCCGTGGCAGAGGGGCCGCCGTGACTCACCCGCGCCCTGCCCGCCCGCTTCTCCCCAGCAGGACCCAGCCCGGAGTCCTGAGTCCTCCCCTCACCCACACCCAAACCCAGATCCCTGGGACTGCTCACCTTGCTCCTCTCTCCCGCCGCAGTCACAGGACCCAAGCCGGGGAGGGGGATGGAAGAAGGAGCTATGCCAGTCCTCCTTGTCCCGCTGGAGTATTTTGTACCTCAGTCCCCAATTAACATCCCTTCCGTCCTTCTAATACCACGGAGGTGGGTGTCGCAGGGGCAAGGACTCAGATCTAATCCCCGCTTCTCCCAAACCAGCTGTGTGACCTTGAGAATACTACTAACCTCTCTGGGCCTGTTTCTGCATCTGCCAGATGGTCATAACCCTCCTCAGAAGCTGTGCCTTGGCCAAAAGCGGCAGGCCCAGGGCGCGGCCCCGCAGATGGCAGCCAGGGCACAAGGATTGTTACATGAGGCTGCGCACAGTAGGTGCTGGGGCGGCCAGCCTGGACACGCGTTAGAACTGGCTAGGGAGGGTCGGTAGGGGAGGTGGGACTCAGGCCTCACCCTGGAGAGGAGGACAAAGGGTGCTGAAGCTGGATTGAATCCGACCTCTAGCCCTGGTGAGCAGCCCCTTGCCCAAACCAGTTCTGCAGAGTGCCCAGGCCCGGCTGTTGCAGGGACCTCGCACCAGCCTCCATTTCCAGGGAAAAGCTCTATTCCCCCACCAGGACAATCCTCTCCGGCTTCGGCTACGCCAGGTTTGGGCGGAGAACCCGGCTCCAGCCCAGGCTCGGTCACCTCGCGGCCGGCCACAAAGCCGCTTAGGCCGGCCCCTAGAGCTAGGAGGATTAGCTCAGCTCGTAGGCCTGCCCGCACCCTTCGTCGCCCCCTCCCCATTTCCAGCCCAGCCTCCCCTGCGGCGAAGGCAGCAAAGGCTCCCGGGGAGCG